CGTTGACAATTCGTATATTTGGAATCAAGAAGGAAGTACGCGTAACCTAACTTTGAACTTCTGAGTCTTCCATTCATTCGGAGTCGGTCATAAGGTTCAAACTGATCTGAAAGGACGAAAGCACGGATTGTATAACGATTAGCCACCGCCAAGTAATCGTACACGCTAACATACGCATTGTTAACACCATTTTGCCCCCTCATCTGACCTTTTAGCGGAGTGTTGTAACTCAATCAATACGAACTGCTGGAACACGTCTATATGATATCTTTCTCTGTTGTTTCTTACGCAGCCATACTCAATACGATAGAGGTATTGAGAATTACTGCCTAGTTTCTTTCAAAACGATAGCAAGCAAAACGAGATATTAATGAAGCTTTTTGACATGATGCAACATAGTGGTGATTTGAAAAGCTTATAGTGTTATTCCTGGGGACCCTGAAGAATACTGATCAATGTCTATGAACGACTGCTGCTTTAGCCGTGTTCGAAATATACCAGTAGCACTTATGATTGCACTGTGATTCTTCTGCCGACGAGGTTGTTAGGTGGAAACTTTATTAGGGACCTGACGTTGCGACGCGGTCGTATTTTTCAGAGGCCTAGACATGGCTCGAGGTTCAAGAAGCTTTTTCATCGAAAACGCTAGGAAAAAGAGACATTTGGCGGTTCAGAGGACATCTCTCGAATCTTTGATAACATTTAGGCCTCTGAAAACACGATCGCGTTGGAACGTCACGCCCTGATAAAGTTTCCACCCAATCTTGTCGTCGTCAGAAGAATCACAATACAACGAAAAGAGAAGCCGGACTTTATACCAGTAGAGTTTAAATTTATGGAATTTACTCTCATTGCAGAATCCTTTAAAATCAAGAGAAAGTAAAACTCGTCTATACACATCAACCTGGTACTAGAGAATTAAAAAAACACCGTAATCAGAGTTTGGTGTCTCCTTGGATTCCCATCCGAAAAAAATTAAGTATTATATTATATTGACTCTATGAATTTCTAGAATCAAAATGGATTTGTTACTGGCGATAGTATGGCATAAGCGAACAGGAAATGACGATCAGAACAGCTCTAGAATTTCTGAACAGCTTTATTACATACTTTACATTGTTTTGTGAGACATTTATAAAGCGAAAATCGCTATTTTCTGAGACTTGATCAGCGAAGAAGTCGTTTGAGCGTATCGTGGCCGTATCCAATTTCTGTAATGGAACCTTTGTAGGCAAAATCTTGCTGTTAGCGAAAAAACTAGGTTGACTATATATCACCAGTCGGGCCGCCCGGCTAACGCCGGGCTTCCCTCCTTCTTATGGTGTCGCCCGGCTTCGCCGGACGCTTTTCTTTCCTGTAAGAAATGCACTATCCGTAAATAACACTTCGGATCCGCCTTTTTCTTTCTAAGCTTCACACCCTCAGTATTAGCTCCGAATTGGGAGCGATTTTTCCTGTATTGTAAATAATAATATATTAAGCAGAAGTCTCGATTCATTGCTCTTCATTCGAAATTGTGTTACATTGATGACTTAACTGGTTGACAACCAATGTCTTGAGTGGTACCTAGAAATTGATAATAAGCCTATCACAGATGTCGTTATCAAGGGAACATTTTCCCTATTATCGGATTTTTCATTATTGGGAAACCCAAATCATTAGCGGTCAGATGAGTTTGGTCACAAATGATATGTCACAAAACAAAGAGGAATCGTGGTACTTCATTGGGTCATAAAGCTTACTGCGTAACGGGCGTAGTTTAATAGCAAGAAATGAACAATATTTGCATTTCGTTATGGTAAAATGTTTTTGATCGATCGCTATTTCTGCATTCACCCGTCTTATTAAATGAAACATTTCAAAGACTCAGTGTTTGATAATGAATCCTCTTTTGCTCTCTGAGACCCTTTATCAGTTCCTGTCACAGAGTACCTACGACAACGTCACATCCTACATTGCCGTCTTTGAAAAGGTTCCACTGTTGTCACGAAGGGGATTGCAACGCTTGCTCGCTTGTTATTATCTGTCCTTATCACTAATTAACTTCGGTCCCTTCACATCCTGCGCTATATACTGGAATACTCAGTTGTCAGTATGTAAGACGTAGACTTATTGGCTCTCGCCTCCTATCAGTTTCTATCAGTCTCTAACAGTTTTCCGAAGTGCCAAAGCTCTGCCGTTAACAAGNAGTAAGTAACGGTTCTGTAGCTCTCGCCTTTCAAGGCCCTTAATCAACTCCTTTTGATTGTTATCACCATCAGTGTTCCTATCCTGCTTCCTGTACTCCTACCAATTTTGAACGCCTTGGGTCCACTGGAACAGGAGTTACGAATTTGCGACCTAAATTTTCTATCGCGCACGCCCCGCCCCCTGTAGGCGGAGTCCGGTCCTGCCACGTGCCATAAGCGTTTCCATGCTGCCCCTGTACTGCTACCAAATTTAAGCTTTCTAGGTTCACGGGAACAGGAGTTATGAATTTCCGGTCAAACACACACACCGACACACACACATAAACACACCGACACACCAACATACACACTTAGCGAATTATATAAAGTAGGATATATCAGGTTCTAGGTACGATAGAACAATTTCGTAAGCGCTATTCGATACAACGCAAAAATGTGTCCCCATAGTCAAATTTAATAGTAGTCTTCTTATGAGAGTGAAAGTTTATAAGATTTAGAAGGAGGTTTGTGTTCTTTTGCAGCTTCTGATTCATCGAGGAACGTGGAATATGATGCTTCAAGAAGTCTCTGACTTCTTATAGTAGCCTGTTCTTAAGCCAGAAGTGGCTGAGTATGCAATGGGAGCTTTGATGATACTGTTCCCTTGGTTTTCACGTGTGTGCAGCTGTTTCAGGAAACTGCCTGGCAATAAAGTCATCTATCGCCTTAGATTCTCTTGTTCTACTCTTCTGCTGTCCTTAACAAATTCATCGTACCGGGCTAAGTTGTCAACAAGCTCCAGCCAGTACTGCTGTCTCGTCAGGCGTTTTGGACAAAGTGCCAAGATCAGGTAGAGTTGCCTGTCTCCCACAAACAACAGTCTTCCTGTACACAAGAGAAAGGTTCATGTATAACAATATTACACTAGAGCTCCTTTTTCTGCCTTTTTGCTTCTTTTCTGCCCTTTTCCGTCACCGCCGTTCCTCAAGTGAAGCGCGTTCTCCCTTACAGCGTCAGGCGTTGCCTTCAGCCTTCCTCCCCTTTTCATGTGATTCTCTTCTTCTTTTCCAAATGCTGTTCTTGTGTTGCATGGCACACCTCTGGGTGAATACCCAGTTTTGCAGGAAGAATCCTTTGAAAATTTCTCAGTTTGAAATTTTCAAATAGCGAGAAAATCGCCTACTACGCGAAAAATAAGGCTATCTAAGATCAGTGGAAATGAAGGCTGACTACGTCGAGCCCAACTTGTTTCAATCCTTTGTCGCCATAGGTCATGATAAATTGTTTGATCTTCCGACTTGGGAGCACCTTGAGGAGCGCAGCTTTTACATCGTCGCTGAAACCCGTCCGCCATGGGTGTGGCATTCAAACGATACAATCTTCGAGCCCTTACAACAACCTATTCACGCCGTCACTGATCTGACAGCGTCACCTATGGTATACTGCAATGCCACAGATTCATCAAAGGGATATTTCTGAGACACTCTTCTAACGTTTGAAGGAGTACGCATAGAACATCGGCAGTCATTTCGGTCATTTTATGTATCATTTAGCAAAGAAAAGGTGGCAGGGTATGTGGTATGTGAATGCGTGTATTTAGTGTCCCTAGATGAAAACTTCATAAAAGAAAATCCTGTGACATATCTGAATTATCGCGAAGTTTTCCGCAGATTCTTGCCGCACAACCGTGAATAAAACGCTTATTATAAATAATAATGAAACGTAAATAAATGTATGTTCACTGTCCATCACTTCCAATAGATTCTTTCTTTCGTGAGTGAAAAAAGGTAAGGGAATAGTGCAGATACTTTACAATTAGAACATTTCGAGAAACGTGACATCCTTTGGAATAGCGAAGATAAGCCGTGATTCCTCTTCACGATTTTTTTTTTTGAAAAAAATACGCTTTTCCTATTTCACAGTAGGATATCAATAGAAGTTTGGCTACAGTCGCTTTTGCCGAACTTCGAAAGTTTAAAGCTTTCGGGCTGTGGCTTTCGTCATGCCTATTGCTGACGGTTTTATCGTCGAAAGCTCCTTCCTATCACAGAGAGCCGGTGATATGCTGATCAAAATGCTCATGTGTCGATGTTTTCCCACCGTATTCGAAATGCTAAAGCACAAAGTGATGGTTGTGATACCCGTTGAGCCTTTTGATCAACATATGAAGGCCATTCACTTCGATAGAAGGGTCAGAAAAGCAAGTGATTTCAGAACAAAAAAATAGGCACGGGTCGCATCATCCCAGCGATTTTTCTTCCACCATTACCGGAAAATTGGCAATACCCCAAAATCTGAAGTCGTAAGTTAGCATTAGGCTTAGGGTGTTTTTTATTCGTCTTCTAGAAAGGCGATGAACTTCGAGCAGCTAACTGTATTGCATTTTGATTTCACTCGCAGTCGATGAAGTGTATAAATGCATAATCATCTCAAAAAAATAAGATGTTCTAGGGCTCGCTCACTATTTCTATAGGGATTTTTTTCTCGAAATTGTAGAGAATATCGAGCCAGTCGAGAGAGGTGGTGAGACTATGCTGGGTAAGGGGGTCCAACATTCGTGACTTTCAAGACAACATTGTGGTCACTGAAAACAATATTCTACGAGTGCGACTCTCTAATTGAGAGATTATAGTTTGGGATTTAGTGTTCAGTTCGTGGAATGGAACCTGGAAAGTTCGCGGATATTTCAATTATAATCTTAGATTATTGAATCTTGAATCCCAGCTGTTAGTGATACGAAGGGGACTCAACGCTACAAAACTTTTCTGAATCCCAGCTGTTAGTGATAAGAAGGGGTTTCAACGCTACAAAGGCTTAGACAGAGTGAAATTACTAGGAATTTGCGAACGAATGCGTATGAGCTGCATTGATAAAAAATAAGGAGGCGACATCCAAAGGATTCGTACCTTGAAGTTCTCTTCTTCGACGTGGGAATCCTTGAAAGCCTTGCTGTCCTGGGAATGTGCCCTGATTTCCGCCGAAACTCTGGGGACCAAATCCACCTTGCTGTTGTCCTGGGAAGCCACCTTGATTACCGCCAAATCCCCCTGGCTGTCCTGGGAAGCCACCTTGGTTTCCACCGAAACCTTGAGGACCAAATCCACCTGGTTGTTGTCCCGGGAAACCACCTTGGTTTCCACCAAAACCTTGCGGGGGGAAGCCACCTTGTTGTTGTCCTGGGAAACCGCCTTGGTTCCCGCCAAAACGCTCGGGGCCAAATCCTCCTTGCTGTCCTGGGAACCCACCTTGATTTCCTCCGAAACCACCCTGAGGCCCTCCACCTTGGTTGCCTCCAACGACTGGACCTGGAAATGAATCGATTATAGCTATGCTCAAGTGTTTTACAGAACAATTGTTTGCTCCCTAAGTATGAGTACTCAAGTGCATAAAAGACATTGGGCACAACATTTTGAGATAGAAGACGTAAGGGGGAGGGAAGGGTTTAGTCATTAGTTTGCTTATCAACGAAGGTAAACTCGTGAGCCGAGAATCCTTGAACTGGACCTACTTCATAAAAACTCTTACAGAATGCCTGAAGAGAAAGGGATTTGAATGCGCTTAACATCACTGTAGGTGGACACCGTATAAACTCGTTCACTTCGCCTCTTCACTGTGTCTTTTATCAAATATCTTATACCGCAATAATGCGACAACCCCTATTCTTTGGCGGTGAGTCACAAAAGCTTTGCGTTCACTGAATGTCTACAGCTAATTCACAGACCCCTTATATAATATTTCCGAGTGAAAATAACGCGCTCCAGCATATTACCATTTGTAAGATGCGAGAATGAGAGAACGGAGTCAAGTGTTTGGTGTTCAACGTGCACTGCTTGGTACACTGGCGGAGTAACTTTTGGTAGTTGGAAGCCAAAAGGCATCGGATAGTGGGAGCTGCCCATCTTTCCATCCGTGACAAACTATGGAGCTCCCCCACACTGCACGAGCTGGGCACTTCCTCTAGGGGTTACACCCTATGAAACAGTCAGTTTCTCATCTGAATTAGTATTGTATAGCAATTTAAATTGCACGAGCCCTCGAAGAGTGTGTGCAGCGCAGGGCATCTTACGAATAAGATGAACCCAGAGTTGTAGATCGGAAGCCTCGTAAGCAGCAAATTCAATCTTGGCATCCTGCAGAGGGAGGATGATCGGTAAAAGGTTATACGATTTGAGATTGGCAGTGGTTTGAGGGCAAGTGGGCTTACCATCACGTATGTTCTTGGGATCAGACCCCGGATCTATGTTCGCTCGAATCAACCAGACATTACTTACTTCCGGCTGTGGGTACCTCTGGTAGGAAAGAAGTGCTATTTCATGCATCAGCTGGCTATCGCAAGTCACAGCATAGAAGTAGAAAGCGAGGACAAAACGGAGTAGATTAACGCCAGAGGCTTCACCTCTTTATTCTGATCAAGAAACCGTAAACCCAGAGTTGTAGATCGAAAGACGGCTGTGACGGCTTTCACAGTTATGTTTACAGTACTTGTGGAGAATGTTAAATTCTTTAATGAATTCCAACCTGGTCCCAAAGGTACCTCTTGTCCTTGACATGACGACAAGGCGATCAATACAGCAAAAACAAGTGGAACGGTTGTCTTCATACTAGCAGAGTATGACGTTGATGAGGAAACAATAGAAGTGCGCTGTGCCTTAGACTGCTTTTGTAATCCTTGACTTGGTCCTTTTATAGTCATTCATGAATCATTCCATCAAAGAACAAAAGAAGTAGAAGGAGAAACTACATCAGATTCTGTCGAGGTGGCTCGGCCCGCTCAGTATGCACTTGAATAGCAAATGATTGATGAGAAATGGAAATGTTTGGATGGAAACTGTTCTCTGCTCATAGTTTTTCATAGAGCGTCGATTTGAAACGTCAAGACATCAAATCACATTATCTTCGATCTCTTTGTGTTTCACACCATCTCGATGAATGGTACCCAATTTGAAATTTCACTTCTGCTCTTTGCACTTGAGCGTAATTTGCAGGCGAAAAGGTAGGAACGACGATCCAACATCAGCGCTAGGACAGTTCAGCTCTGATGGGTGGGTATATCTATTAGCTGAGGATGAAAAACTGGGAATGTGTCCGATTACGGTGGATTGTGTAGCGGCACTTCGAGGAAGAAAGTTTAAAAATATTTTAAAAAGCGTATGCCTTTCGAAACTAGTTGCATCATAAAGACAAACATAAAAATAACATTTGGAATTATCTCTTCACCGAATCGTCAAGCAGCCAGGAAGTGCATCAGTGATACAATTCTTGCCATGATGCTGTCAGTTCACTAGCTGACGCAACAAAATCTCAGTACTCATTACTATAGAGGGAAGATAGTATGTGGCTTGATCTCGAGGAAATTATTCTGGTAAAGATGTTGTGAGTGATTGTGGGCCATTATTGCCCTTTGTAAGTTTTCTTAAGTTGCCACGCCACTTCAACCAGGTGTATTGTTCAAATCAGATTGTTGAGAAAGAGAGTCATTCATTTCGAGCAGTTACCAAAGCGTTTCTCATCATATCTGCCACAGTAGAGTAGGCAGATCAGAGACCTCTAAATCTCTTCATTGTTGTTATAATTACGAAACATAAATGTATGCAGAATTCTTCACGAAAGTTATTTTTTATTTACTTCTTCATTTTCAGATAAGTGAACAATCACTAATGATTAGATTATTCCCGTGTAGTGCAACGTTGCTANCAATTCTTGCCATGATGCTGTCAGTTCACTAGCTGACGCAACAAAATCTCAGTACTCATTACTATAGAGGGAAGATAGTATGTGGCTTGATCTCGAGGAAATCATTCTGGCAAAGATGTTGTAAGTGATTGTGGGGCCATTGTTGCCCTTTGTAAGTTTTCTGAAGTTGCCACGCCACTTCAACCAGGTATATTGTTCAAATCAGATTGTTGAGAAAGAGAGTCATTCATTTCGAGCAGTTACCAAAGCATTTCTCAACATATCTGCCACAGTGTAGTAGGCAGATCAGAGACCTCTAAATCTCTTCAGTTTGTTGTTATATAATAATTACGAAACATAAATGTATGCAGAATTCTTCATGGAAGTTATTTTTTATTTACTTCTTCATTTTCAGAGAAGTGAACAATCACTAAGAATCAGATTATTCCCGTGTAGTGCATCGTTGCTAGGTGGAACAATTTACCACTGATGAATTTTCATGAAACAGTTCGATTGTCTTCGAATAGCCTTGAAACTCCTCTACCTCTTTCCTTCCATACTTCTTATCATATGCTATACCGTGATTGTGCATGGCAACGACAGCAGAAAGATTTACATAAACTATTTACGTGAGGAAAGGATGAGGTTTGTGGGTTTAATGAACCTCGCTTCTGGAATGTGCACCCTCATTCGGCTCCAATTCAGAATGCTGATAGTGTTCGAATGCACATGTGACTTGTGCGGTGAGTTGCGGTGGCCAGCCAATGCAGAAATCATCGCTTTTATTTTCCCAGACGGGTCTAGTCACGAGAAATCAACTCACACAGATGGATAGAGGAATGAATAACTCAGTTGGCTTGGACGACTACTGATCCGTGGTTCGATCCCGCTTTATGTGCGGATGTGTGCGCCACATGCCACCTCACCACATCCACTCAAATATTCAGATGAGGTTCATTCAATTCCAAAAAAACGAAAACCACCATAATAGTCTGATAAGAAGCATCACTAGCCAAAATGTAATAAAGATGACCACAAGTAATGCGACCATTGATGATCAGCTTTTTGCAAGATCAATACACATATTGTAAAAGATTTATAAAGCGACACTGCTTTGATTAAACGAAGTGTTCTGGCTTCCGATCAACGGAGAAGGAGATTCAGCGTATCATGACCATATCTAATGGCTGAAATGAAGTATAATACATATAGAGAAAACTGAACAGATTGATCTGCTATTCTTTGGCTAGCCCAAGGAAGATTTATAATTACATTTCGTCCTCGTAAAAAGGTAAATTGCACTGTGGAACTACATTTGGTGGTACGGTTTTCCTACCGAAGTGAATTCTTTACAAGGCGGACTACATATTACCGCACTAGAGAACAGCACCACGTTATGTCATTGGTCACCAACGAATGCACTGTAGAGCTACTTTTGGTAACTTGATATGAACTGGAAAGTTATGAATCTGATAGTAAGGGGAACTGCTTCGTTTCCCACCCGTATGGAAACTGAAACACTACTAACTACTTGCTGAAACATCTACTGGTTGAGTAAACACCTCAATATTTCATCTCTCAAAATATGGAGATTATTCAAGAACTGATCAACGGAATTGAAAAGGTTCATATGACTTGGACCTTTCCCCTATGTAAGGCAGTCTAAATTTTGTGCTAAATTCACTAAATTTGCTATACAGGGAGTCATGCTACATATAAACAACAAAGTAAGGTAAGTAGCAGCTATTTGAAAACTATAAATTAACGGAGTTTAGAGAAACTGAAGTTCTGCGCTGTAGGGAGTGACGTCAAGACGCATTCCTACCCCTTCCTAAAGGTTGATACCCGGGGGATCTTGGTTGAGAAGGAGAAAATGATGAAATCTCATGTGAGGAAAAATGAAAAGAAAATCTTCTTTCAAAAAAAAAATTCAATGAGGATTTCGAAAGTGCCTTTAGTCTAGGATGCAATAAACGAAGGCAACGCGCTGGTTGAAGAGCAATATTATTCTCCAGAAAATGATAGGAAAGGTTATACTTAGACACCTGGGAAATAAAATCTCTATCGAGTCATTGCAACTTCATGAACGAGGTAGTGTAAAGCCATTTGACCAGCCCTTCAAAAACTATCTTTAACATCGCTCTAGACATTTGCAGACGCAGCACAACTTGAATCGCGGTGAGAAGCCAGATTACTACTGTTGCTAGCCAAAGAAAATAGATCAAGCTTTTGTCGAACCAAAAAAAGAGTACGGATTGAGTTTGCAGACAAAAAACTCAGCTAAAAACAAAAAAGAGAATCAAAGTAAATTTGTACCTTGTGAATCTCTTCTTTTTCTAGTGCTTGCGAGCTCAGGACCCAATCCGCCTTGAGGCCCTCCGAAAGCACCTTCGATTCCGCCGCCTATTTTCTCGCCTTGCGGTGAAGGACTTTGGAACTGAGGTCCTAATCCACCTTGGGGTCCTCCAAAACCACCTTCGATTCCGCCGCCAACAATCTCACCTTGCGTTCTCGGACGCTCAGGACCTGGCCCTTCCCCCACTCTAACGACAGGACCTGAAAAGAAATATCAATCCTAATGACTTTCCGATTCTTTTCAGTAGCTGGATCAAAAAAGGACTATCAACGCAAGATGGGTAAAAAGTAATGCTTGCCCCCCGTGTTCTCCACTATGACATTTAACTACTTTCATATCTTGTCATAAGAGTGACCCTAGTCAGGATGTGGTCTTCAAAATTCCAATGTCTCTGTTCTTTCTCAACGAATCCTTTCTCTAGCATAACATCGTTTAGTTTTGTGAATCAAGGGCTTTGTAGTAGTATAGCCTGTCACTGGCACTGTAGCTTGTCATGCATTCTCGTATACACAACATTTATCATACCCACTGCCTTCATTCTCAGTTTGCAAAAAACAACGCTGTGTAGTGTTGAAGGAGTTCGGGAAGGGGAGGAGTCGTTTCCAGTTTCTTAGAAAGACATATTTGAATTGAATGTGGAGTACCAGATACGCTTTAACCCATGGAGAATCATGGATTTTCCCTATTTAACACAAACAAGTCTTACATTTTGTGTTCTGCCGGTAACCAGCAGATTCACTCACTTAACGCTAAGCTATTCCGTGTACCCCTTAATAAGGATTATACAGAACAGAACATCCGACGAATGGCTCGACCAATTGATTTTAATAGCATGAATCAGATCAGTTTTAAAACCAATGTGAACATCAGATTTCGGGTTCATTTTCAAAAGATTGATTAGTAGTTAGCTAGCCTCTTATCCGTACAAAATGGACCATGGATTAGGAAGTGCTGCTTATAAAACCAAAACTAACGGATTTATCGCAACGGATGGTTAGGGGAATTTTTTTGCAAAAAAAAAAATAAAATCTTCAGCTAATATCTGTACTGTGTCCAACCTGGTTCCAAAGGTATTTCTTCTCCATGGTGTGAGTGAATGGCGATCGATAAAACGAAAACAGCAAGTAACACCGTTGTTTTCATATTGGCAGTATGCGACGTTGATGTAGAAACAATAGAAGTATGGCCAATTTGTTCACGACTATCTCTGCTTTACTTGACTAGTCCTTTTATAGTACTCTATGAATCATTCGAACAGAGGAAAAAGTTGAATAGGCAGCTCCAATTGATTCTTCCAGGGATCCTGATATGAACTGGTCGTCACGCCGTGAAGGGCAGATAATTAATGAGCTGGGACTGTTTCGGTGGAAACTGCTCTCTGCTCGTCTTTCTTATAAGGCGTATGTGCATGAAGAGCGTTTTGCTGAGGCCATCATCTGCATGATTACTTGCACTCTTGTGCAAATCTTTTTCGACATCATAGTATTGAGTTGTAACCCCGTAGAAGGTGATTTAGTAGTGTAGTTTCTGCCTCTTCAAAATGAGACCAGATGAGATCAAACTTGAGAATGAATAGCTAGGAATAGAGGAAGTAGGGGTAATGCATAGCAGAACAAAAAATCATTTCCCCATATTCACAGCTTAGGAAGAGGAGCAACTATCTCTTCACATGTGGAGATGGGAGAAAAGGAAGTTCTTTGTCGGATGCTTCCCCTTCACTCAATTTTTTTACAGAAATGACTAATTGGTAACCGATAAACTGATTGATAGCTTTCCCACAGTTTATAGGGATAGGTTGGATCGTACTAATAAGTGGAATACTTACAGATATTGCAAGCAGATGAGCGTATTCGGCGAAATGGCTGAATAAAAAAAGGTTTCTATTTAAGGTGGCTCCCACCCTGTGAACTGTTTTTTTTTGAAAATGTATAAGGGCGCACTGCCTTTGAATCGGCTTAGTAATATCTGAACAGCGATAGATCTCCATCTCTCCACTCGAAGATGAGGATAAAAACGAGGATTGAATTACAAAGATCATAAAATGCTGTATTAGCTGAGAGGGCTCATAATTCCTTTTTTGGAGAATGAGATGCGTCTAACATAAGGAAATGTCCCAATGGCCAAGCTCTAGAATTAATGAGGAGCTGCTTGATGACATTCAAGATGAAGTTGAATGGGATCAAAACGAATGAAAAAGATCAGCGCTGCTCTATTTTACGCTGTCAATCTTGACGGATTGACCATTAGTTGACGCCGATAAAAGTGGTAGTATGTCACATTATAGATATAGCTATTAGGTTGTTCGGAAAAGGATGCGCGTTGATTTGTCCACTCATTTCTCCACTACTATAGAAGATTTTTCAAAACAGTTTTGTCTATTGAAAAGAGATGTTCATTGCGCATTTTTTGATGTATTTTTGGCTATGCCTATTTTGTTTTTTTTTTAAGTTTAAAAGGTGCTTGACCGAAAATTCCTTTTGCGGGCTTGCATGTGGTATAACTTCAAGCAAGGAAAATCGGCTGCCGAATCTCATCGTGCCATATCTGAAGTATACGGCGAAGAAGCCCTGTCAGAAAGCCAGTGTCGACGATGGTATCAGCATTTCAAAAACGGCAATTAAGGCTTGTAGGACGAAGAACATGGAAGTCGGCCTCAATTCGTCGATAACCAAGTGTTGAAGACCGTCATTAAATAGGATCCACACCAAACCGCCCGAGAACTGGCAAGACATGTTGGCTGCTCAAACTCTACCATTCACGAGCTATTGCTGGCAGTAGGCAAGACAAAGAGGTGCGGAAAATGGGTACCGCACCAGCTGGGAGCCGCAAACCAGTAACACGAGTGGCGATGACCAAAATTTTTCTTCATCGCTCTAAGAAGAGCGGTTTTTTAACTCTACTATTACATAAGGGGGGAAACGAATCTGCTCCGACAACACAACACGAAAAAGACAGTGGTTAGATGCCAGTGACATTCTAAAACCCATTCTGAAACCGGATATACACTGCAGAAGGGTGATGCTTTGTGTTTGGTGAAACAGCAAAGGATGAGTGTAGTTTGAAGTTCTGAATTCGGGTCAAACGGTTACGGCATACATTTACGAAGATCAGTCGAACCGCGTGGACCAAGCACTGCGTCGTCAAGGCGTTGAAACGAGGTCGACAAAATTCCTTCTTGACAACGGTCGTCCACATGTTGCGAAAACCACCTTGGAAAAATATTGAGGAATTGGGCTGGGAATTACTGAATCATCCGCCTCACAGCCCAGATCTCGCACCATCCGATTACCATTTGTTCCGGTCAATGCAGCACTCTTTGACCGAGAGAAAGTTTAAAAACCGCGAAAAAGTCCAACTCAGGGTGTCCAGCTACTTTGAGTTGCTGCCGGCCGAGTTTTTCAGAAGAAGAATCCATTCTTCGCGTAAANGTAGGCAACAAGTCATTGATAGTAATGTAAAGTATCTTTTGATTTGATCATGTTTAGTTTCGTTTAGAATAAAAAATTTTTTGAACTCAAACGCGCACTCCTTTCCTAACAACCTAATATTTTTCCCACGGTAGATGCGTACTGATATATCATTCTATCACTTTCTATCAACACTTTCACTGCTCAGTCGGTTGTAATAATTGGTTAAAAGGTCAATTGCTCAGAACGTCTCGAACAACAAAATGATAAATAGTTAGCATGTTAGTTCACTATGCCACAATGCATCAGTGCAAAGGTGATCGCAAAGGTGATTGGATGTCCTAGGATGTGGAACGTAGGCCTGTTGAAGTTCACCGCATGGTAGACCACGAGGTTCCCATCCACGCCTAGTAAAATTAGCTCTACCTGCAAAAAGTCATTGGATCACAGCTATCTCTAAGAGTCATCGTTTGCGCAGCTCGAGTGGGACCAATGTTTTTGCTCGTCGCGCCTCAGCAAAGAATGCAGGGCTCACAATAAGCAACTGGTTCATCGAGAGTGGGTTGTGTACCGTGTTGAGATGAGAAGGGTCGACGGGATCCGTAAATCTAGAATGTCGGAAAATGCCTAGCTCGAAACGGTACACGGCAGGTAATCAGGATTTTTTACGAATTTAAGAAGCCTAGGCAATGAACTTTATTACAGCTTTTCGTTGATACGCACAACCCTGATCTTGATTATTCACCAAAACATGGCTGTCTTCTAAGATTTCTGATGCTGAAATTCTGTCTGGTCTACCTTGCAGCGTTTTCCGTCCTGACCGCAAAAGAAATAGAGGGGGTGGTGTTTGCTGTTCAGCTAAGCCAAAACTATTGATCTCGTTGCTATTGCCACCTCTCTCCTCTGAGCTCGGATCTCCTTTGCACTCGGTGCGTTTGACACGCATTCCCCTCGGAAAATAAGATTTACTTCCATTGATCAACTACCAAACTCCACTTCGGATGAAGGCAAAAACCTTCTCGATTCTCTGTTTGACATTGGCACATCAACTGAAAACTTGATCATATTGGGTGGTTCCAACCCTGCCATACACTGGCCATTAGAGGAGCCAAAATTCCGCATCGGCCAAATTCCTTCATTCCTTCGAATGCCTTCTCCTAGTTCAGCATGTTGCTCACCCGACTCGAGGAAAATCAATTTTAGATTGAATATTTCCTATCCACCTATAATCAAGAATATAAACATATGCCTGCCCTTCGCTGACCATTACGTTGTTTCTTTTGAAGTCTCCGTTGCACTGAACGAACCAAAGCAGCTTCCCTTGCCTGATTTTATGAAGGCGGATTACGGTGCCTTTTCACATTACTTATATTGCATAGGTTGGTGGGCAACTTTCGAAAGCTATAAATTGAATTTGTTGAAGACTTGCATAAAAGATTTTGTCGTATTCTGTACACTGCTTCTGTCCAATTTGTACCTCTTGAATCCTTAGATGCGAGATAACGGTCTCAAATACACATAATTTGATGACTAAAAAGCTCGTCTCTTACACGCTTCACAGGAATCGTTTCTATGCGAATGTGCAGTGAGCTTGTTTTCCATCTAAAAGATTCCGAAAAACGGGCAACGACCAGTGCGAACAAGAAAGCAGTCTTTGCTCCCATGAAAACCAAATTGAAAACACGGCAGACAGCACCGGTTTTCGAAGATAGTGCTGGCAATCTGTACATTACTGATGCTCAGAAGGCTGCAACACTTGCAGGTTTCTTTGCGTCCGTTTTTTTAACGCCTGTAGCCAGTTCGGGTGAAACCACAAAGAATGACCTTCTATTAGATTTTAGCTCTGATATTACAATAGCTCCTTGGAAAGTATACAGAGTTGTGAAGTCATTTAAAAACCCCTGTCCATTGCCATACGATGGCATTGCTCAAATAGTATATAAAAGATGCGCCTTCGACCTGTATAAATCCATTTGTATGATGCTGAGTACCTCTTTAATGTTCGGAGAGGTCCCAGAGATCTGGAAAGAATCTATCATCACTGCTATTCATAGGCCTCCGAACCTAGTCTCCTCTTTCCACCCTATCAGTATTACTTCACCAGCAGCTAAGGTTTTGGAAAAACTGGTACGTGGAAAACCTGCAACTCACTTTAGCAAAATCATGTTAAGACCTTTGGAACAACATGGTTTTGTTGAAGGTGCTTTTACAAGTATTCTGATGGTTGATTGCTTGTTTGACTAGAGCTTGGCTGTTAACAAAAGCCAAGGTGTAGATGTAATACTTATATTTTGATTTATAAAAGGCTTTCGATAGAGTTGATATCAGTAGGCTTCTCACAAAAATAAGGCAAGTTGGTGTCTCCGGAACAATGTTAATTGGATACAGTCATACTTAAGTGATAGACGTATGTGTGTTAAGGTCGGCTCTCTTTCTCAGGACGTCATTCGTGTACGAGTGGTGTTCTCCAGGGTGGCGTACACCTCTTCCATTCTTGGCGTACACGTATGATTTACCCACATATCCGATAACACATCCCATTGATAACGTGCGTATCTTCGCGGACGGCATCAAAATTTGTGGCGCATATGACCAGGATAGCAAGGGGATCATCCATAATCATTCAATCCAATCCATCCAATCCGTCATAAAAATGATGGATTGGGCTACGCTCGGAATATATTTACCTAAGACAAACATCGTAACCTCGCTAAGACAATTGTACTGCATCTCGGG